TCATTCAAAATATATTGACTTATCAGCTACTGCACTAAGCATTGATAGCATCACCCACCCCACCCCACCCACACACACGTTTGCACACCCATAAGCCTTCAATTGGATTGGAAAGACACACATTAGTTTTAAAAATTAGAATTTGTCATTTTTCTCTTCAGCCGATAAAATCAAATTTAAAACCATAAAGATTACATGAAACAGGTTTATCATCTGGCCTCATCTGACTCATAATCTCTTAATGCATTCATCTGCCTCTCTTCCTTTCTAATGGAGCTATTTGGCAGTTCCCTGAACATTCACCTTGTTTCCCTCCCTCATGCCTTTGCTTGTGTACTTCCGTTTTCCTTCAATTACTTCCTTCCTCTCCTTCTTGCCCGGTGAGCTCCTGTGTGTCCATCAAGTCCATGTACTTCCATGTCATGATGGAAGAACATCTCGTCTGTGTGGCAGGTGATGCTGCTGAGATATGATGGGACATACCATAGTAACCAACGGCACTCCTGACCAGAACTTCAAGCCTCGTTAGGCGGGAGCCAGTCAGGCAATAGCCTGCACCATTCTCCAACTCTATTAATATCGTGTGAGTCTTTAGAATAATGTAGGAAACTCAAATTTACAGCGATGGGGAAGACCATCAAGTCTTGGAAATGGTCTGCAGGAGGGGGTCAGAGAAGATTTTATTCTTAGCTATTCCTGCGAGACTGCTTTTACATATGCCTCTCAATTTGGAGAGCTAATCTAACTTTATTTTTAGCTTTATGCAATTCTAACACCATTTATGGTGAGATGGTTGGGTTTCTAAGGATCCCTGGTTGTGCTATGCATCAGGCATCGGGCTGCTAATCACAAGGTCAGCTGTACAATGCCACCAGCAGTTCTACAGGAGAAAGATGAGGCTGTGTGCTCCTGAAATGATTTCTAACCTGGGAAACCCTACAGAGAGTCCCTAAGAGCTTGAATGAGCTCAATGGCACTGGGTTTGGGTTTGCTTGCTTGCTTTCTATTCAGATTGTGCTCTAACCCAAATCTCTTTGCAATGGAAACGACTCTAGACCTTGCTTGATGGGTAGATCAGAATAAGCGCATTTGTCCCCGGTCCCTAGACGACATCAGTGTAGTAGATAGATGCACACTTCCTGATCAGCGCACTACAGCATACAGTGCCCCGAGTTCCTCTAAGGGTGTTCCTTCCCCCTTCCGTGTCAGTTTGTGTGGGTAGGAAACAGCATTAAGTTACAGAGAGGTGTCTGGCATACCAATGAGCCTCACACCCGGTGTCATGTTAAGGATGCAAAGCAGTGGAAAATGATCTCTTAGTCATTCATGTAAAATTAATGCAGTTTTTACACTTTCACTGAAGCTACATTCTCAAATCATTTCTCAATAGAAAGTTTTGTTAAATCAATTACGTAGTGAACTAATTCCCTATATAGTTTCCTTTTTTGCTTATTGAATGATATTAACATGATTTCAGAGAGAAGTATTTAGCACATTCACGAAAACACTCTTCCTTGGCCTTTTAAAAATCACTTGTTTGAATTGGTAAAGGAAAATGTCCAAATTCAAGACTTTGGCCATTCCTATTAGGAGAGCTGAGGAGAAAGGGTTAGTGTGAAGAGTAAAGAGGTTTATACTCTACGCATAACTGATGTTTTGTCTTTTTAAAAAAATGGAGTAATTGAGAAAATCTGGGTGGTGAGTACTTTGGAGTTCATTGAATAATGTGTGTCAGTAAGCTGAGTAATCAAACCACGTTGAAACCTCCTTGTATATGAAAACAGGACACCATTAGGACATGGGCAGGATAAGTCATGTTTTCACACCTGTTCATGTCAACATCCAAGCAAAGGTATATTTGTGTGGCTGGGTCTAAAGGTCATTCTTCAACTCAGGTTCTTAATGGGCTTCATTAATCTATTTTCCCTCGCTTCTTAGTTTGTAGCAGGTAAGTCTTATTTTTCTGAAAAAAATTAGGCCGAAATATGAAAAATGATGATATTAGCAATGCAGTTAGCCAAAGTTTCAGATGGGTTCTGGCAAGATATCCGATGTAGGGTCACTGCGGGGAAGTGCCATTTCCATTCTTTCCCCGGTCTCCATTGCCTGCTGGGGCGGGTTCCTGTATTCCATGTCTAGTCAGTGTGGCAGAGTTCCTGCGAGCTCTTGTCACCAGCAGAGTGTAAGCTGCTGAGGCCAGGCTCCTCTGGGGATGTACATGGTGCCTGGCTGCCATAGAAGGAAGGTGAATGAAAGCGACAGTGGATAATATACACCAGGGCCCATAAACATCATCAGGAGTCCTGGTGGCGCTGTGGGATAAGCACTGGACAGCTCACTGCCACATCTCCTGTGGAAAGCCACTCCACTGGAGGAAGACGAGGCTATCGGCTCCTGTAAAGACGTATACTGTATTGGAAACCCTAAGGGACAATTCTGTTCTTAGGGTCATTCTGAGTCAGAATCAACCCAATGGCAGAGGGTAAAGGTGTCCAAGTCCTAATGCATGAAACCTGTGAATCTGTCATGTTACGGGGCCAGGGGGACTTGGCAGCTGAGCATCAGTTGGGAATCTTGAGGTAGGAACCTTCCAGATTACCCGAGTGGGCCTGATGTCATTGCAACCAATGAGTTGCCATTGAGGCAGTTCTAACTCAGAGAATCTCCAAGTGTGTGTGAGTAGAGCTATGGTGCAGAGGATTTTCAATGGATGTGCTTTTGGAAGTCTTTTCTTCCATGGTTCGGCTCTTTTCTCAGAGATACTCCTGAGTAGACTCAACTGGCTAGCCCCTTCGTTAAGCAGCTAAAACAGTAGTGGCTTTGCCCCTCACAGCGCAAAGTCCCTTTGAAGGAAAAGAGTCCGGGGAAGTGCCCCAACCAAGCAGTGGTTGCCATGATGTAACCGTGAGCCAAGGACTGCAGACAACCTCTAGGAACTAGACATGGTTCTCTCAAAGAGCACCCAGAAACCCTGCTGCCTGTTATTGAGCCCAGCAGAAGTTATTTTGGACTTCTGGTCTTCAGAACTGGAAGATGTTAAGCACTAGGTTTGTATTCATTGCTTATCCAGCAACAGGAAACCAAGACCTCCACGCTTGTGTTTCCAAAAGGGATGAGCAAGGGCGTCATGTGGACAGTCTCCCATCAGAGATCCCTGGAACTTTTGAGGCTTGGGAAGAACTTCAGTCCTTCAAGTGCGGACGTTGCGTCAGACTGCCTGCCCTCAGACCCTTGCGCCACCATTCCTTAGCAGTGGGATTTTGAGTAAATGCACCTGGGCCCACCTTTGTTCTCTCACCTGTTGGTGTGGAGATGATTCTAGAGTTTGCCTCAGATGCTTTTTTATGAGCTTGGGTGACAGAATCCATACAAAAGTTTGCACAGAATCCATGCAAAAGTTTGCCTGGCCCGGAATAAGGGTGCTATGAATGTGATAATTATTATAGAGGCCCTCAGCTATTCAATGGCTGTACTGTGTGTTTATGGCTGCAGAATCTGATTAGCACATTGTATAAGGCTGTTGTTTCCCTTGGGAAGCTACGTGGAAGATGGATTCTTCACTCACAGGCATTATCTGAAAGAAAGGACGGTGACATTGTGGCTCAGTAAATAACTAAGCACATAGTGTTTTGTTTTAATATGAGATACCACACAGACACACACACACACACACACACACACACATGCATGTTTTATGTGTAAGGAACTCGCCTGTTTCTTGGTTAAAGGTACATGCTCATGGATTCACTGTCTAGACCTTGACTCAGGAAAGTGAATTTCTTAAAACACCACCAAAATTGGCAGGTAAGGAGCCTAGGCAATGAGGAGCAAGAGTATCGATGGGGTTCTTGAACTCTCGGTTTAACAAACATATGGAGGATTTCATCAATCAGTAGCGGCAATGTGCTTGTCCTCTGGAGATCACTGAGTGAAAGGGGAAGAGCTCCCTCTACTTTTGTCCTCGGACAAGGAAGTCGCTTGGAACTTAATGTTAGCTCTGTCGCGTTAGGTGGACCCTACACGTTTGTGGGGTAAATCAGACTGAATTTCCCTCTGTGGGTAGCATTTGAGTGGGGCAGGAGGAGCATTCAGACAGAGGTGTGTGTGCGCAGGAAGACAAGAAAACCATCGTAAAGAACAGGCCATGTCTGGGGAGACACACCACGTGTGCTGCTGGGAGAGGCGGTGGGGTGTGGGACTAACATGTCCATTAGGGGTATATCTGGAAGAGCTTTGGGGAGTGATCCTAGGAGTCACCTGGGATCCCAGAGCTCTGAGTTGTGAGGCCTTATTGTTCCAGAGTATGCAGTTATACACATCTGTCAATACTCTGCAGAAACAAGGAGTTCTGAAGCCCCCTGGATTTAGAAATATGGTGGAAAACAAGCCAATTAAATTTCTTTCCTTTAGGAATTCTCAGAGCTTGTCAAGATACTTTGAATTTTCCAAAAGTTGAAACAGCATATAGATAACCAGGAGTCCTGGACTAAGACATTAGACTAGAAAGGAAGACTTAGATCCAAAAGATATGCCGAATAAGGAATGACGGCGGCCAGTTAGATAGGATCAGAGAGCAGAGAGGCCATGTGGTGGGGGCAGAAATCCAATGTGACTCCAGTTTCACGTGTTTGGATTTAGTCAGTGCTGGGGTGGAGAATACGTAGGATACTTGATTTTATAGGAAGATCAACTATTTTGAATTTAGGACTTGTTTGATTTGAGACGCGAGCTGAGGGGGCAGATATCCATAGACTCTTGAGAATATTGGTCAAGAGGACAGAAGGCTCTGGGATTAGAAAGCTGTGTGAAGCCAGGTAGTTCAAGCCACAAACATTGATGAAGATCTCCAGAAAAAGCAGGCTCCTCAAGGTTCACAGGAAAATCAAATTCATTTGAATTGGCAGAAGGATAAAGTTATGAGGTAGTCTTAAATCTGACTCTTGCATTCTGGTGGAGAACTTTGTTAGATGTTGAACTAGAGCTTGTGTCTTCTCTTTTAGAATCACATCTTGTGCAATGACTATGAATAAGTACGTGGAAGAAAACGTGTCTCAAAAATCCTACACGACCATCAAGTATTTCATGAAGATGCTGAGCAGTGTCAGTGAGACCCTGATCTTCATCTTCATGGGCGTGTCCACCGTGGGAAAGAACCACGAGTGGAACTGGGCCTTCGTCTGCTTCACCCTGGCCTTCTGTTTGATCTGGCGAGCATTGGGTAATGATCACGTATTTCCTTACGGAGAGAGAGAGAAGAAAACAATTCAACAAACTACTAAAAAAAGTGGGGTGTATTTCTTCTGGCTCTTTTCTGTTGCTTTTATTCCCACTGTTTCTCTTTCCCTCCTTTTCTAATATAATATTGTTATCCCTGAGTACCTCCAGGCCTTTGTTAGAGAACCACCTAGTTACTTAGCAGCTCTGAAAGGAACCCCGGTGGTACGCCGGTGAAGAGCACAGCTGCTGGTGGAAAGGTTGGTGGTTGGACTGCACTCAGAGGTTCTGCGAGAGAAAGACTTGGTAGTTGGCTTCACTAAAGCGAACAGCCCAGAAAGCCTTATGGTGCAGCTTGACTCTTTCACTTGGATTTCTTATCAGCTAGACAGCACTCAACAACAGCCTCTCCGATTCCATGCCTTCACCCACGATCCAGAAGCAACAAGAACCAGGACCCAAGAGCCTAGTAGAAGTGATAGGGTAGAGGAAAAAGTAGAAGAGCAGGAGGCCCATCGTGAGATGTCTGACTCTGTAATAGAAGCACCAGAACCCACCCTCGTGTCTCATTTCTCCTCGCTTCACCCGTCTTACTGGCCTTTGCTTTCGCCCTCTCTTCGCAGGTGTCTTTGTCCTGACCCAGGTCATTAACTGGTTCCGTACAATTCCCTTGACCTTTAAGGATCAGTTCATCATCGCCTACGGAGGACTGCGCGGTGCCATCTGTTTTGCACTCGTGTTTCTCCTTCCGGCTGCTGTGTTTCCCCGGAAGAAGTTGTTCATTACGGCAGCCATTGTGGTCATCTTCTTCACGGTCTTCATCCTGGTGAGTCGAGTTCTTTCTCCCAGCAGTGGCCTTCTCTTTTTCAGGAGGAAACAAGATCTTCAAAGTCTCGTGATGAATTCCTTTCCTGGATGCCAAGTGGCAAAGGTGTCTTGCGGTGCTCAGTTATGACATTCTGGAAAAGGATACTTCCTCTCTGCATTCCTGTCACGAGATTGCTCAGGGGCTAATGTCCCATTTGGTCCCGTGACCTGAACAGGAATTATTATTTAAGGAAACTCAGCTAAGTGATCTAGCTTAGTACTGGAAATGAATGAGCGTACTTGCTAATCCTTTTCATTTGTCTTACTCTCTGGCCTGATAAGTTTATCCATTAACTGACCTTCCAAAATCTATTTGACACAAGGGCAACCGTGGAAGGAATGGAAAGAAGTTTAGTACTTGAGAGGCGTCAGATGTGGTGGAAAAGACCTGGTTGCTGGTCTTCACTTTGAAAGTTAATGAATCTCTGTACTTTAATAAATCCGGCTTTAAAATATTTTATTTTGTAGCTATCCATTTAGTAAATAATTATTGGGCTCATGTTATGGGGTAGGAAGTGCTATGAAAACATTGACTCTACACATGAAAACACTACAGTATAAACCATTAAAAGGTCCTGTCTTACGGATCTTGTATTTTTGAAGGACTGGCAAGCATTTGACAGTCAACACGATTTATCAATTAGAGACTGGCTGAGAAGGTGAGGGTCATGATTCAGCCAACAAGAAGTAGGGGACCGGGAATGATAAGGGCAGTCTTAGGAGTCAGCAGCTGCTATTCTAAATAGAAGGATCACGGAAGGCTTCCGTAAGAAAAATACATCTATTTGAGAAAAGGCTTATATGGAAGTTCAGAAATTAGGCAGACTGAAGAATATTCCAGACAGGTGGAGCTATGGGACAAATTCTCAAAGTAGAGTATTTTCAGCTAGAGCAGCAATGGTTGGCGTGTGAGGGAGAAGAGGGAGGGCTGAGGAGAGGGAGGGCTGGAGTCCTCGGAGGGCCTGGCAGGCTGCTACAGAGACTTTGGATCTTTTTGGAGTGAAATGGAAGCTATCAGAAGGTTTTGTGCAGAAGAGCCGTGCTCTCTGTCCTATTTTTTTTTAATAGGATCTTTGTGGACACAATGTAAAGAACAAATGGTTATGGAACAGAAGGGTGGAAGTAGGGTATGATGTTTAGATGCCAAAGAACTCATCCACAGGGAGGTAACAGTCGAGTTGTGGGGTTCTTTCATCCATTCTGATGGATTAGATGTGGGATAAAGAGGAAGAGGAATCATGGATGGCTGTCGGGTTTTATCATTGACTAGCTAGAATGCAAGTGTGCTTGTGTGCAAGTGAAATGGGGAAGGATTGATGTAGTGGAAATAGGAGAGGGGAAATTAAGAGTTCGATTTTGGACATGCTGGGCTCATAATAGCTATTCGATATACGAATGAAGATGCTGAGTAGGTGGATTATTATGACTCCAGAGTTCTGGAAAGCAGTCCAGCCTAGAGTTATACGTTTTGTAGGTGTTGTTGTTAGTTGCCTTTGAATTGGCTTCACCTTCTGTCAACACCATGCAGTATAGACCAACCGCCATCCATTGAGGCATCATGTTCACGATCACTAGTGCACACGAGTCCATTCTTAAGACCACAGTGTGTTTTCAGTGCCTTCCCATTTAGAAGCCTCTTTCCCCACCAGTATATCCAATACTATTCTGCTGTGGCCCACAGAACCTTCACTGGCGAATTCTCAGAAGAAGATCATCAGGCCTTCCTTCATAGCTCAGCCTTGTCTGGAAGCTCCCCTGAAACCAGTCTAAACAAGAAACCCTGCTGGTATTTGAAATACCGACGACATACATAACTTCTCACACCACAGCAACATGCAAGACACCACGGTGACCCAAACTGACATATAGATGGTGACAACAGTGTTTCATCCCATGGGATAGGCTTTAATCAAGAGAAGGAAATTCTAGATGGTTAAAAAAGAAAAAGAAAATTGAATGAATGTCTGGGCAGCCCAATGTTAAAACATGCAGGAGAATAGCAGCCAGTGAGATAAAGACCAGGTGATCAATGACAAAAAAAAAAAGACTAGGAGATTTTAATATATATTATACTTAACAAATACTCATTATGTATTAATGTGTTTAGTTTTATATTTTATACATGTGTGTGTTTAACCAGTTGTTACATAATGCTTTCTATAGTCTTGGCTCCATTCCAAGCACTTTATATACTAACTCATTTACTCTTCATGACAATTCTATGGCAGGGTACAAGCGATTATTATTATTATCCCTGTTCTTTTAGAGAAGGGCACTGAGGCACTCTAACGGAGGCTAAGGAAGGCCCCTGAGTTTACATGGTTAGTAACTGTTGGAGCAGGGAGCCCAGCTCAATCTAACCTCAACTTTTAAGAAACGACTAGGAAAGTGCTTAGCATATAGGAAATAGTCACTACTCTAAATTACTGTGATTCTTCCCCTAATTCCAGCTGTTTCCTTTTAAAAACCATTCCTCATTGACACACGCCTGCCAATTGTATGAAGAGTGAGTTAATTGGTTTCCTGGGGAATGCCTGTCAGGCCTTTTCCTGACTTCAGAAAATGACCACATTCCATTGCTGTTTGTATTATGAACACTTCGGTGAATACTTCCTTGTGTCAGGTCCTCTGGCAAGTGCTGTCTTATTGGCCTGATCTCATTTCATCCTCACAACCAACCTTTGAGGCAGAGACTAGCGCTCCAGCTCAGGAAACCGGTGAAAAGAGGTACAAGCATTTGGGAGAGACTGGCAGTGAAACTGGCAGCTCCATCAAGCCACTCTGACCCGTTAGGGCGCACTGACCTCAGTCCAGACATGTGTCATGATTAGTATTTTTAAGCATGTATCAAGCTACTAATTTTGGCTCAGATATTCCATGTGGGTTTGAGTTTATTCCTTGAATATGAGCCTTTTGGATATGCAGGAGACACACCTGTCTCTGTCTAAATTATGTTCCTTGGAGGTTTTCAGGATTGATTTAACTATTTCTCTAGTTTATTACTCTCATAATGTTCTGGTGGAAACAGTGTGAAATGAAATCCTCTTCCTTTGAGCATGTCATCTCTCAGTGTACTTCCTGGGGCAGAATGCTTGTGGGTATAAGTTAAGCAAGAGGCCCTCACCCATCTGTCTAGAACTGTCACCCCTGTCCTTGCTATCCAGAGGCAGTTCTTCTAAAGCTTGTTACATGCTTTCTGGCTCTTCTCCCTTCCTCTCAGAACATAAGGTGGAAAATACAAGCATTAAATATGAAGACAGAACCATATGAATCTCATAAGCCCATTGTCACCAACTCAATTCCAATTAATAGCACTCCTGCAATACAGAGTATCACTGTCCCATGGGGGGTTTCAAGAGTATAATCTTCATGAAACGGAAGCCTGGTAGTGCTGTGGGTTTGGCATGGGCTTCTAATTAAAAGGTCAGTGGTTCAAATCCAGCAGACATCGTGTTTGAAAGATGAGGGTGACCACTCCCATGAGAATACACATTCTTGGAATAGGGTGTCTCTGATATGGAATCAAACCCATGGCAACAGATTTGCTGTTGTTTTAGAATTTTGATGGCAGCTGCCTCCTACATCTCTCACCCCAGAGAAGTGGGTTTAAACTACTAACTTTTGGGTTTGCAGCCCAGAACTTCACGCCTGTGTTCCTGGGGCCTCTCCCAGTATAGAAAACATCAGATGAACTACCCAGGAAAGGAGACTTGGGGCCCAGTATTTAACAGTGTACACATATGTGTGGAAACAACTCCACAGAGAGATAGACTCTCCATCTATCAAAGGGTTTTTTTAAAAAAGCAAACAGCCCTCTAAACTCTCTGCTCCGAGTCGTCCCTGACTCAGAGCGACCCGAGGGAACAGAGCCGAGCTGCCTCCGCGGGTTACCGAGGCTGCCATCTTCACAAGAGCAGACAGTCTCATCTTTCTCCTGCTAAGGGACTGTGGGTTTCGATCTGCCCCCCTTCAGCTTAGCAGCCCTTGTGTAACCCACGATGCCACCAGGGCTCGTTATATTAAAGGATAGCCTGGCTGAAGTCACTTGGGGAAAGAAATCACCCTAGTTTCATGCCTGCTAACGTCTTTTCTTCTCTCTGCTCCGTCAATTAGTATGCACTGATTAGAGACATGCCTCGATAGTGTTTGGTTCTTTGAGCTTGCTTCTCCCTTCTATTCTCTTTTCCACCACTAACTCCTAAGAGACAACACAGACCCAGCTGCGCGTACACTTGCATGCACACTTTCCCTTCAGGAAGGGCCGTGCTGTCTCGTACACGACAATAACAGAGGGACAAAGTCCATGTAATCAATGACAACAAAATGCAAACCAGAAGATGATAATATATAACGTGTATCGAATATATAGATATAAAATATAGATAAATATAAAACCAATTGTTACATAGTGCTTTCTACAGGCCTCGCTCAAATCTAAGCACTTTACATTCCAACACTCTTAATCTTCATAATGATTCCATGGTAAGTAACTCTAGGACAAGTGATTATTATTATCTCCATTTTCTAGATGAGGAAACGGGCGCTATAAATGAGACTGAGTCACAGCCTCAAATGTACACAGCTAGTGAGTTGTTGAGGAGGAAGTCCAGCTCAGTTGGATCTCAGTTTTTAAGGAAGACCTATCCTTTACTTCTCTTATCCACTACTAACTCCCGAGAAACAACCCAAGCCCACATGCACACAGACATTTCTTTTAGAAAGGACCACTCTTTCCAGAATACATCAGTCATTGAGGGACTCGGCGCAAGAAACCTGGAGGGAGATACGTAATGAGCTATATGAATCTATGCATACATTTTTGCTCTCCTAGAAATAACATATATATAAATATATATTCTCCGAATGAATGTTGATGAGCTTCTCAGTTAACATTAACATGGCTTTCCCTCCCTATTTCATTTTTTCTTATTTAATGAGCCCCTCCATCCTGATAATGTTGTTAGCATTACCTTATAAAATGGAATTTCATGTGGTTCGTCGTGATTTATCATGAGCATTTTAATATTTGTTGAATGAAGTTTAAAAGCAGAGAAAGTGACTTCACCAGGAAGTACATTTTCTAGCTGAAGGACTGATGGCATGCCTGTGGACTATTTATTAAGTAACAATTGAGAGTAAGGATATTTGAGATGATGACAAAAAGTAACAATGGTATTGTATATAATATGAGCCATTTCTCATGTTTCAAAATTACATGGAAGTTTGAGAAGGGTGGAATACAGGAAGACAAAGGACAGACTTACAATCAGAAAGGACTATGTAGCACAATACCTGGCATAACTTTTTAGATTTGAAAATGATTTCTTGTGTTTCAATACATAACACAAAAGAAGAGGAAGAAGAAGAAAAAGTGAACTCCTTCCAATAGGCTTTTCTCGTATTTTTGGAGGAAAAAATGTTTCGAGCACAACAATAATGATTTCACTTATTTCGATTGTCACATAGCAAATTCACAGAACTCTACAAATATATGTAATGGCTATCAAGAAGTACAGCACACAGCAAAGGTGCCCTGAATTCATGAGACGGTTGCCTTCCCCACCCCCCACCCCTTTAATACAGATTAGTGATATAATCTACTGTAAATCATTGACCAGAATGGCAAAGGGTTTGGGATTTCCTACTTGAAAGTTAATAAATGAATCTATTACTGGTTTTGTGGATGCTGGAAGGAGACGTAAGACTCCGGGGGCAGAGACACTGCATTTTATGACTCGTGGCAGAACAGTAGCTGGAGTTTCCTGTTGCTTTGCATGGGCTCCCCTGCTCCTCAAAGCCCTCAGAAGTGGGTGTCAATGAGCCTGGGGGGCCTCTTGCTCTTTGTCTGCCGGCAGACTTTACTTCATCCCTCAAGGTTACTCATTGCAAATACATTCCTGAGAAATGGACCAAGTTGAAAGTGGTCAGTGCTGTTGGCACTGTCTGTCAGAACGTGCCAGGGTCTTCAGGGTCCCTCTCAACCATCAAATAATCCTTTTCTAATGTAACCTCTCCCACTGCAGTGGTCATGAAAACAGAGAAGCAAACAGACCACAGTGGTTGTCTACCGGAGGATTGGATTCAGGTCAATCACGTGTGTCCGAGTCGGATGTGCTCCACGGGTTTTAAATAGCCCCGACCTTCGGGAACTAAATCACCCTGCCTTTCTTTCTCCTGAGGCAACTCTGGGTGGATTCGAACTACCAATCTTTTGCTTACAAGTCAACTTCTTAACCATTGTGTCACCAGGCACTCTAATGCTTATTATTTTACAGCTATTGTGAAGGTCTTCAAATGTGATTACGTTTGCTAAATAGAATGGTCAGGGGCTATAGATTTGTCTAATTATAATGCTAACTGCAGTTAATTAACACATATCATAGTTTGATAAAGTTCCTCAAATTCAGAATAATTTTTCTTGGTCTTAAGATAAAATGAACAAAATGGCAGCATATTTTCTTTGTGATGGAAAATGTATGCAGGTTATTTATAATGTGAAAAGAATAACAAAAGTTAATCCAGTGGTTTGGGGCTATGCAACTATACCACTTTTAAATTGAAAAACAACTTCTATTGTGATTTGAGTGCAAGTTTTCAGAGAAATTTATTGTCAATTCAGTTCATAGACCTTTTATTTCTTGGCATTGATTACAGTTCCCAGAATGTAGAAGCATTTTTCCACTTTCACCCTTTATTTTTTGAGTGAAGGTTATGGGATTATAACAAGTGTGTGGAAGAACCAAGTGTCTTTAGACCATATTGTGCAGCTTTAGAAATTGCATTGACGTCGCTGATGTTGCCGTAAGCTCTTCTGAAACGTCATGGACTTCATGGAATCTGGAGCTCATTGCAGTCCCCACACCCGGAACCAGCCTGTTTACACCTGTTTTAATTTACTTAAATTTAAAAGTACAGAATATGTGTTGATTGGAAAACAAGTTATTACCCTCTATGTTATTTCAAAGTGGCAGACTGAACTGAAAACAGAACACAAGGTGTGTTTTACACCAAACTTGGTCAAAATGAGTTCACACTTCAGAAAGTTAAAATTGAAAAATGCTCACAACTAAATTGATGAAAGAGAAACAATGGCATCTTTTCATAAGTGTACATTTGTGAATCTTAAACTTTTATTATAAAAACTTTATAACTACTGAAGACAGGGAGGAAGTACGATGAAAATTAAATGCATGACAGAGAACATGTTAAACCCTCTTACCTACACTCCCAAAAAACCTTCAAACATAATAAATGATCCTTTCTTTTTCTGTTTCCTGTGAGCCATCTCCCAACCCAAAAGAGATTTGAACATCTTCCTCCTCTCCACGCTCTCAGACACACCTCTTCTTAACCCAACCGACTAACATACCATTTTCACATGATTTTAAATCCATTATTTTACTGTTTGTTTTGGTATCTGCAAATCCCTCCTCATTTATTCCCTAAAAATTATCTGGTTACATTTCTCTTCCAGATTAATTTAGGAGCAACCTCTTAAGTTATATTAAAATTCCTTAGGCATATGTCATTGGAATTGCATTTATGCCCCGGTTAGTTGAGAGAAAGTTGTCATCGTAATATTGTCCAGTCATTCCTTCTAGACGCTATCTCTGTCCTTTTCTTAATTCAGATCTACCCCGTACTCTAAGTTGGATAGTTCTCAGGGGTCACTATGCGTCAGAATCGACTAGATGGTGGTAAGTGTGTTTCCTTGTTTTACAGGCATATGCTGTTGTTCTGATTGCTAAGTGCTATCGAGTTAGTTCTGACTCAAAGCAACCCCATGAGTAGTAGAACCGAACCTTGCCTGGGCCTGCACATCCTCAGACTTATTGGTCAACTTGAGCCCATTGTTGCCTCCATGTGTCAACCCACCTTGTTGATAATATCTTCCTCTTTTTGTAAACTATACACATAAAAGGGCTCCCTGAATTCATAGAAAAGTAGAATGAAAAGTTAATGGAATTTTTTCATGAACTTTTGAACCCCTGTTTGTGTTTGAATTTTTTTTCATTGCTAGGATGCGGATGTTTATATCTGGCTACACTTCCTCCATAATAGATGGGATGAATTTATGCACATTGTTTGTTTCATTTTGATTTGTCCAGTCACTTCACTAGTTGTTCCTTTAAATTTAAAAGGATTAGTTTTTTGGACCAAAGAAAGAATAGATCATTCACCAGCAACAAAACTCTCTATCTGATCTGTTCCTTGACGGTATTTATACCTCTACGGTTTATTTGTCTACTCTTATGTAATTGGCTAGGACCTGCAGAACTGTGTCCAGTAGCAAGGGAGATAAGGAAAGTCCTTGTTTTCTCCCTGGCTCTAACAGAAATGCTTTCACGGTTTCATTGTTCAGTGAGATGTGCTCTAGATGGCCTCCAGGTGCTTTTGATCATGTGAGAATGTTTTCTTCTCTTTTGATTTACTAAAAAGTTGATGGCTCTCCCCTTTTCCCAAGTTCACCCCAAAACACTGCTTCTGTGCCCCTCTCTCACAGGTGAGCCTCTGCTGTGTTAGGATTTATCCTGAGCTCTCACCGAGCCCTCTTTAAGACTCCCACTCAGCCGCCTGCTCTACAAAGCCTTCCTTAGGCTTCATTCGCCCCGTGTCTATTTTCCTTTCCTCCTTCTCCTAGTTTTACAACAGCCTTTGGAAGTACCTTGTCCCCTAAAGCTGATGTTCTTACGCTTCATCATTGGGTCCCACATGCCAGAGTCCCTGACATGAATGCAATAGGCATTCAATTATATTTTGAAATGAATGAATGAATGAATTCTTGCTGTTTTCTAGGGATACTACAGAATATAGATGATTCTTTTAAACTTGGTAATACTGTATTATTTCTTAGAATTATTTTCTTAAAATTTTCGATTTTGATCAATTTTTGTTTGTTTCTAGTAACTCTTAGGAAATAACCAAACCTACCTAACCATAACCATAACCAAACCAAACCTATTGAGTTGATTATGATATATGCATACATCAAGATATATGCATATGTGTATGTAAGTATATGTACGTATGGTATGTATGTATGT